AAATAGGATGTGGAGCTAGGATGGGCCACAATCATGGCATTTTACAGCACAGATATGAGCCTTGCAACAATGGGCATGATGTAAGTAAAATTAATACAGTAAATTAAAACCATCTGATATGGTGGTCCAAAGAGGATGTGGAAAGAAAATTGTGCTGGAACCTGGCTGTCCCTAACTGACAAAGCAGTTCATGTTTCCATTCAGTTTTGAGTGAAGCTACTCTTGACATTGTTCTGATTTATACAAGGGCACAAATAAGTCACCTATGATGGACAACCAGAGGAAAACAGAATTATCATTTTTTCCAGACACACCTCTAGCAGAGTTGGACAGATTCATGGGCAAGGGCTCAGTGTGGAGGTTTTTCCTGCTGTTTGCCATGAAGAAGAAAACAACTAGGAAATCCACAGCAAGGAAATAGTGGCCCTTGATAGAAATTAACATTTCTTTAGGACACAGTGGATTAAAAGTCACTATAGACAACACAAAGAAACTATTCTCTATACAGTTATCAGTTGTCAGGGGTAAACGGTAGAGTTTTGTTATTAACAGAGCAGCTATTTTTGTTCTAAAAGTAATCAGTTTAAATAAACACAATGATATTTTAAAATGTCCTTGAGAAGTAATCCTTTTAGAAACAGGGTGATACAGGTGTCATAATTTCAAAAGTTCAAATTTCATGCTCACACTACCTTGAAATACTGTGGATACTGAAAACATTCTTACTCTTTACTCCCTGTTGCTGAAACAGTTATAGGACACAGAAATTTGTATTTGAATTTTAATTATCTCCTTACAAATTCAATTCCATTTGCATAATTTTCTTTACTATTAATATCATACCACTAAACACAACTAAGTTTAACAGTAACACAGAAAGAAACAGCATTAAGTGAAATGGAGTTTAACAGTAGCTATTACTATTCTGGGACCTATCTCACCAATTACCATTAATATTTCACCATATTTCCTTAACAATGAAAGAGCAGAAAATGGATTAGAGCTCCCATTCAAAATAAAGTCAAGCTAATTAAAAAAAAGAAAAAAAAAAAGAAAAAAAAAAAAAGAAAAATCAGTATTAATTCCCAGGGAAAAACTGCCAGAGGCATATTTCATATTTCACAGGTGGAAAACAGACTGGAGGTTTTCAGTTTTGCTAATGTGAAAATCCCACAGAAATAGGTTGATTATTTCAATATTAAATAATACCTTAAGTCTTCCTTCTTATCTACCTTTTGCAGCAGATGCCACAACATCCAATGAAGAGAAACCCAGTGATTTTATTTTTCTGAGTCAATTTTAATGTTTCCTTTTATTATTATGTCTATTAGACATTCCTGTCAATGCATAAAGTTGGATTTCACACTCTCATTCACTCTAAAAGTATTGTGCCATTTGAAACCTTATATCTACTGCTATTAGCTTCAACATTGAGCCTCAGTACTTTAGGATTGAACCTCTAGTACCACTTCACAGTTTGTCATAGTTCTAGTCATCAACAGATGCAGATTGGATGAATGAAATTGCTGAAGGTGAAGACTGAAAGATACTGTCAGAAGTTACGAAAGAAAAGCCACATATATCATCCATCTTAAGACAGCAGCAGTTTTTTACCCAAGACCCCTTGTTAAGTTAAAACGGAGGGAACAATCAGGGAAAAAAGCCCAAACACAAATATGAAACGCTAAACATTGCTGCTATTGATACCTACAAACTGGTGTAAGGCTGTGATGCTCTCACTGTCAATTTTATTTCTACTAAAAAAGTTGATATGTAAGAGATATAAACAACAAAAAAGTAATATAAGTCATGATTGCCACAAAACTTTGCTAACAGACTCAAGGAAAGAAGGTAACTTCATAACATCCATTCTCCATGGAAAATTTTGACATAGCAGTGATATTAAGCAAGGTTTGTCTTGTGAAGCTAGTTTCTACATCATGCTATTTTATGAGGACCCACTCTGGCAAAGTAGCTTTAGTGAATGTGGTGGAGTACAGTATCTATCTGAGGACAGTTTGAGAATCCTAGGAGGTCAGAGGATCTTTCAATTTTTACCATCAAAAGTATGTTTCAAGAAGATATAGTCTATATTACTATAAATGTTCTGGTAGAAAGTTGTTACCAATCGTATTATTAAACTCCATCATGTTGTTAAAAATAATAATTAAAAAGCTATAAATAAAAATGAAGGAAGGGTGTACACATTTACTTCTATCTGAAAAAAAACAGCTAATCTTAATAGTGACTGCCTCATGGAAAAAAAAAGCCACGGGGAAAAGCTGTAATGAAATGCATACTTGGAAACCAAAAACCCAAAGTATACATTTCAGCACAATTTCAAATCAATTGTTGTTGCATCATTATTGAAAAACATGAACTAGTTTTCTCTATGACAAATTTCCGTGAAACTCTACAAACAATCCACTTATCATAATTGAAGTGTTAGGTAACGAGCACCCATCTATCTGGGTACAGTGACATTGATTGTATTTCTTCTGAAACTGCAATAGAAGTGGCTGAGAATATAAAACTTCTGCTGTGTGTGTGCCACAATAACTTTACTTATTCTTTTACCTTATCTTGGTGCTAAACTTAGAGTTCAAAAAATCCACTCTACCCTGGAGTATACATGCATGAAGACATGTTGTCAGTGCTGCCCTTAAGAAGCAGAATGTCCTCTCACGATGGCCCACAGTTGTCATTCTCTCTACAAAGAAAATATTTTTAAATAAAGAAGCCAAGGAAAAAAAGATTCTGTTCTTGGCTGCTTCCTATCATTTTTTTTTTGTCTCACTTCCTCAATTCCTTTCTACATTTCCTCTTTGTCTTATTTTTCATTGATGTCCTCTTTCTCCTTGATGTTTTTCATTTCTTAAATGAAATGACTTTTTTTGAGTAATGAAAATGGTATGTCTTTAATCAGAATTATTATATATAATTAATATAATTAAATGTAGTGTCATGTCATATATATTGATGAACTAAATAACAATTAATAGCGAGAGGAAAACTTTGAAAACCATCTTGTAAAAAAGTTTCTGGAATTATTTCTTTCAAATGAATTTCACGAGCCATAAGTTACTTTTAAAGCAAGGTTATAGAGTTAATGGTACAATTAAGTAATTTGAAGCTACAGATTATAATGTGAAACATCTTTCAAATTTCATTACAGAGAGCATACACAGCATACTGCATTAACAGAGCTGCTGAATTTTTTCTATCATTCAGAACCCATAAGAAAAATCTCTCCTTTCTTCTGACCGCATACACACCTTTGCCCTAAAGCAACTTGCAGTTGCTTTTTAAAGCACTGTTTCTCAGCCCATTAGAAATCCTTTTTCCAAGCTCGTTTCACTAGTACAGATGTTAATGAAAATTGAGCATTCTATAATTTTGCTTTTTAGCTGACATTTAGCTCCAATAAGTAGATAATCTCAGCAGCACTAAAAAAATATGGAGGGTGAAATTGAAAGATATGAATGCTGTTCTTTAGCATGGATTTCTTTGTTCTCTCAGTTGTCTGTATTATACTGTAGTACAGTACACTGCATTCCCTTAACCCTGCTTTCCCTCTGTATGTCTCTGATTGTATAGTGTTATCATTCACTCTAAAACATCAGAAGGAGGCAAAAATTAAATATAATAGGTAACATTCTTTATAAAGAAGGAATTGACTAAACAGAAGGAGCTAGAAGCAGTCAAATCACAGATCAAGAAAATATTGCAACAAAGAAAATAGGAGCAATATAGCCTTTGTTGATTTGGAGGACTGATAGGCAATGCTATACATAGAAAGTGGAGAAAATGAGACTTCAAAACTCTAGGGAAAAGAGCTGAACAATTGCCAAAACACTGTGAGTCAGTTGTCACAACAGCACTTTAGAGAAAGAAATGCAAAGAGAATCAAAAGGCAACAGGTAAAAAAAATTACCCCCTTGATACTTTGTTTTTGTCATTTTCTAACTAACTAGCATACAGAAATACTCTTCCCCTTCCACTCACCCCAACAGTTGTATAATTGTGAGTGTGACAGAGGCTTCTCAGCTTTTTATTTCAGGTTATAACAATCAAGGAATTCTTCAGACTGTTAAGAACTTGTCCTTCTTATTTCTGAGGAAGGACATGTACCTTAGTAAAGCATTGTCTGTGTTTCTTTTAATTGCCTGCTAAGGGCATTATTTTTGAACTTCCTTTAATATTTTTTGACTGGAGTTTCAAAGAAAACAATGATGTCCAATATCCCCCTAAGGTATAAATGAAATCTATTAGAACCAAAAAAAATGGGTCATTGTAAGTTTCTTTAGAAGGAGCCAAATACCCTGCTGGCACAAATGAGCATTTTTTCCATTTTAATTTTGGATTAAAGAACCTTTTTGGAAGGAAATCTTTATTTTCATGGTTTTTTAATCTGTGAGGCATATTGGTTGTTTCACATAAATTAACTGCTTCTCATCAACATCTCTCTAGTTACATTTCCAACATGATTTCATGGCTCTAGGTAAAAAAAAAAAAAAAAAAAAAGTTGCTTCATTTGTCTTAAACAATAGTGTCTACATACATACACAGTTTAGGGAGCTATTTAATATCAGTGGCCACAAGTAAGCCTACTGGGATGACAGGAATCTAAGCAGACTGATTTGGTTGATCAGTATAAAGAGCTGAGCTATCAAAGTTCCACAGAAGTTATAATCTAGCTGATTAAATGCTGATTTGGCTCTAGGCTCTGACTCCTAATATCACAGAGGCAAGCCAATTTTCTGCCAGCTCTGCATCACCATAGCTGCGTTGAAATCAATGTATCAAGTTAATGTGCTTCAGTTTAGTAGTGACCTGAATCGTCATTTTTATAAGAACTGATCTGATTGAGGGGCATTCTAATTCATCGTACATAGATAGAGGCTGTTTTTACATTGCTAATGAACATAACCTCCTATTCTCTTCCACTTTTCAAAATATCTTCCCTTTTTCCTTCCTTAGACGAGTTCATTTTTCATATACAGCTGATATAACTTCTTTTCACCATTAGGGAATAATCCATCAGCACCTCTGGCAAGCTAAAAAAAGCGTGCTAAACACAAATATAAATCTTTGCAGTATTGGAAGTTTTTTTACTGTGAATCATGTAAATGCATTTAGAACTACTGACAGCCCTTCATCTGCGGTCAGTTTTCCATCAACTTCCCTGGGAAACTTACATGTAAATAAGTGAGTCTCTGCTACTGCTACCCAGTCAACTAACAGCAGAACAAGGATCTGTAAATCCATATTTTGAGTCCCAAGCTCAATTACAACATGAAAAATGTTGTCTATTTTGTTGAAAATAAAAGCAACTTTTAAATTCATTTCAGCTGTATCCGTACTCTCCTAAACATGGAGCAAAATACATATAAGCAAGCACTGGATTCATACAGATGTACTCCAGTATGTTAAAAACCATGAGAAGGAGAAATAAAAACTGAAGTTCATTTGAAATTAATTTCACACATCCGTAAAATTAATAAGAGTACAAAATATTGAATATTGGTCATTTTTTCATTTATTTAATGGATTTTTAAAAGCAATTACCAATATGGATATTCCCCCGAAATCAAAAGCCAATACAGATTAGCTGTATTATTTATTATAAAACAGTTGAGCAGAATGTTCAGAAAAGGATCTGGATCAAGTGCTGATGCTTCAGTAAATCAATTTTTATCCTGCACAGTTTTTATTTCATCAAGGAAGTTTTGCCTTGCCTCGCAAAATATTCTATAGTTGATTTGAACAACTAATAAATATACTGTGACACCTGTACAATTTATTATCTGACAAATAACCTATCTTTGTGTCCTTGAACTCTCATTATCTCTAGGTCACCTTCTACACATTTGTCTTCTCTTTCTCCACTGACAAAGAAGGCCTTATGCAGGATCTCTTATCAAATTCTTCTATGTTTTAAAACATACATATAACAATATTTTCATGTATCTAATTAACATATAAGCGTATTTCCTATTTTCATCTACAATGCTCAGAAAAGGGTTAATTTTTCAGGTTGACCCTAAAACTGTTGCCACAAATAGGAGATATAATTACACAAAAGCAATAGAAAATGAAATTTAGCTTGGTTTGGAAACCTTAACCAAAACTGGAGGACTTGATTTCTAAACCTCACTGACCACTCCAAATATATATATAATTGATTTGTGAAGAGGGAAGGACCTGAAAAAGAGCAGTTATGAAAGCGCAGAAAAGCTGCACAAGATAGCAAGGAAAAGCCAACCCTGAGAAAGAATTCCAAGAGAAAAAGGTCCAAAGAATTCATCACACAGTGTCATAAACAGAAAATTAATTCTTTTTATAAAAATATATGCATTTCCTTACAGAAGAACAACATTATCTGATGTCAAATAATCTGAGGGCTATGATTCAAAGCTATCTTTTTCAAGATGGGGAAAAAAAAAAAAGCAGTGCCTAGATTAATTAGTAAATGCTTACTACCTTTCTTCTGGAGTTTACAAACTGGTTCTCTGAAGTGTTACTCAGTGCTTACAGCAGACAAGTAGAACTTCAGCAATGCCATATATCAAGGTTTCCCTCCATTTGGACTTTTCCTCACTAAAAGAAAGTGTACTCTCATTTTTAAATCCTAAAGAAGTGGATATAAGACATGCTCAATAAAGCTGACATGCCCTTGATATGCCATGTTGTCTCAGTATATATTACCACTGATATGCTTGTGCATTGTTTTCTTGCAGTCCTTTGGTAAATATGATAGTTTAATTACACTATGGTAACACTGCCACTTTCATTATTTTTGCTGTAATTTATTAATGAGTCAGGTCAGAGGACAGACAAGCAGGATAAAAATCATCAGTTGCTGAATTTCTTGGATGCAAGAATTACTAGGAATAAAAACAGGAGAGTTTATTTTCCAAAAACAACATTATTTAAATGGCATTCCAAAATGTATGTACAATAGTATGTAAGATGAAAGGATAGTTTCTTTAAGAAGGACAGGAGAAAATAAAAGTGTTCTTTCCATATTGAGAATTAAAAGAAAAAAAATAAATGAAACGAGGAAGGAATTTTAAAGCACATGGTTAATAATGAAAAGGAAATAAAAAAAAATATATGCTAGTGGGAATCCAGAACAGTCAAACCAGAAAACGTTTATGAACAAGTGGATAACATCTAGCAGAATAAGACAGGATTATCCAGATTGGGAAAAAAAAAAACAACACGAAAACAAAACAAACACAAAAAACCCCACCACATTTTAAGAATGTGGGAGAATCACAAGGATATAAGTGAACAAAGCGTATCAAATCAACTTAATTATCATAAGGATCAGGCACTGGCAATCATTTTGGTTATTCCTCACTAAAGAGGAAAAAAAAGATTAAAACCATGAAAAAGGTCATTAATACCATTTGAAATGACTACTTTTAGGAGTTTAATTGCAGAAATACAGAATGGAACACTTTTTGAGAAGCGTTTGAGCAGATTTAAAGTATTACATAAGCTTCAGGACATGCTCAGAATTTCAATACCAACATCAAACTTCAAGAATAACCCAAAGGATATGGGAAATTCTCTCTCTCACCATTTAGAACTCAAAGAGCCTTTACCATGTTTTGAGCTGTCACCTCAGAAAAAAATATGAATCTCTTCAGTGAAGTTCAGAAGAGAGCAACAAGAATCATCAGACATCATAACTCAGAAGAGAGCTAGACTGGATATAGCCTTTCCGGCTTTGAGAGAAAAGGTAGATCAATGGCCTCAAAGTATGTAGTAGATCTCAAAGAGAAAAGAAAATACTATTTTCTCCTTTCCAAGATAGAAGAAGAAGCATACTGCAGCAAGATTTCAGGGCAGACCACATACAGGAAGAAAAAAAATAGCAAGGCAGAGCATAAATTGTTTGAAAGTCTTCATCTTTACAGATTTCCAGCAATAGGCCAGATGAATATCTGCCAGAAGGAAAATAAGTACACCTAGAGAAGTGGACTAGCATTTCCCTTGCCTTCCAATCCATTTGCGCTTGACTTTATTTTACTGAATCTGAACATCAACCTTTTACGCTTTGCCTGGTAACAAAGCAATTAAAAGTTAACTGAGGCTGTGCCTGTAGGAACAGTGTACAGGTATTGATATAGAATGCCATTCATTAGGAACACTGCTTAATAATAAGCAGGTTTGTCCACATTCAGTACAACTTGAACAAGAGTTTGAATTGTGTTCTACTAAAACATGGAAACTATTTGTTTGCTTTCAGTGGGAAATAGAAACATCACCAAATCGCTGAAAAACATTCACATTTTCTTACTGAAGTCTAGTTAGGTTTTCATCTAGTTCTTGCTGTGTGCCTTTTTCAGCTTTCCACAATTCCTGTACTGCTTATCAAGAAAATTCAAACACTTACAATACAGTTATTTCCACTAACAACAACTCTATCAAAGGGAAGTACCAGCTGTCTACAGTCAAGTTTGAATTTATAATCTATTTTTATATAGGTACATTAACATATCACTTTTGATTTTCCAACTTTATATCATATGTTCTTAAGAATGTTAAAGATAGAAAAGTACCTAGTCAGTTTTGTACATATATTCTTGATTTTAGAAGATTGATGATACATTTCTGTTGATACAATCAAGAGGTAAATTCAAATGATGCTAGAAATCACACACTAGAATCATCACCAGTTCTCCAAGTGAAATCTGGCTGTTGCACCTCTGTGCCTTTGATGCAGCTAATTTGAAATCAGTGCAGGCATTTCTTCCTAAAACTGGACTAACTCTGAAAGACTCACAAAAAAGGATTTAACACTAACCAGCAGCTCCCATTATAGCTTAAGTATTAGCAATTGTGATGAGTCAGTATTCCTGAGTCAGGGATGTGTAGCATAAGGACAATCATATCTGCATGATGTTATCACACCATTAAGTACATATGAAGCACCTATCAGTTGCTGTTGCTAGAACAAGATATGGAAATCTCTGAACAATCATTCTGTTTCTTGTATGTCCAAGCTCTTAAGCACCTAGCCTTCAGCAAACACATCACAGAATCACAGAATCATAGCCATACCAGTCCACCTCTTGATTCTTACCCCCAAGCTCTCCACTGCTACACCATTCTCCCCCAGGTGGAGTTCAGTACATTCTAGCTGCTCTCTTACATAAAGAGCAACTCCACCACCCTGCCTCACCAGCCGATCTTTCTTAAAAAGCACATAGCCCTCCATGACAACATTCCAGTCATGCGAGCTGTCTCACATGCATACTGACCAGAAAACTCATAAGTGTATGCAGAAGCAACACAGAAGAAAACTGACAGTTTTGGAGACAAATGTAGACTCTTTACTAATATATAAACATGTTTATAAAATTAAACTTAAGCTTCAGTACAAGATACTGTTACAAATTCTGTCTTCTTAAGGATTTTAAAATTGGTTTTATTTAGTTACATATACCATATCCATATGTTGTGGTAATGTGTTACAGAGTCTTCTTCTCTAGAGATATTCAAGACCCTCTTGGATACCTACTTGTGCGACGTGGTGTAGGGAACCTGCTTTGGCAGCAGGGTCTCAGGAGGTCCCTTGCAACCTCTATGATTCTATGATCCTGCAATGCTACCGAGGTGATCCCAGATTCTTAATGTACATCACTAGTGATACTATTGAAAAACTTAATTTTTCCACTTAATTCCATATCCATCTTAATTTGATGTACTTCTGCATTTACAACAACTTCTAATGCATTGCAGTTGTACTTTTATGATGTCCTGTTATGAATTTAGCAGTGTCATCTCTAATGGTCAGTTCCTGAAAACAATAGGCCTCATTCAGTAGATAAGCTTATCAGTAAAGTTACTGTTTGGGTTAACAACTTTGAATACCATAAATGAGAATTTCTAAATCTCCTGGGATCTCCTAAATCAAAGGAAAAGAAATGTACTTTTCACTGTGGACCATGGGTTCAGTGAACATATTTTGAAGCTAAGGATTTTGGCAAATGAGTGAATTTTAACTGTACGAATCACAACCAACTTGTTCCTACTTTCAGTAGTGTGATAATAGCGTTGCCTCTCTTCTTTAAGAGGGTAATAAAAATACAGACTGGCAAGATGTTTCAATACTTGCTTCATTTTGTCATGGGCAGGGGGGAATGGAGTCTGTAGCAGACATGAACTGCAGCTTCAGAAAGAGAAACTATTCCTCAGAGGTACTCCAGAGAAATAGCTTTTTTAAAGCTAAAAAAGTTAAAGTAATTTTCACTTTTTCCAGTAGTGAATCTGACCAACTTCTTAAATCTTGTGGTGAAGGAAATGCAATTTCCTATTTCATTTTTTGCAGGCTTGCTTCTGTACATACAGCATTCCTGTTGTCTGAAGCAAAATAAATGAGTCACAAAAAAGTAAAAAAAGAGTTTTGCTGTTTTGCTTACTATCTTTCAATTGTCTGAACCATATATTGCTGAAACTTAACAGCTTAAAGTCAGTATCAGAATAATTTTGTTCAGTTATAAAAACCTTAAAAGTTATAAAATTATAAAAATATAAATAAAGATTTAAATGATCTGAAAAGTTTAGAAAATTGATTTAAATTTTACACACAACCTCATATTATTTTTCTAAGCTCTCCTTTCCCAGGAAATTGAAGGTGAGAGGAGTAATTGAGTTCAAATTGATTTCTACTTTCAAATAAAGTTTCCAGTGAAAATGGAAGGTTTCAAATGAAAATGCAGTGTTACTGTTAAATCCTTATCTTTAGTTGACATACATTTTTCAAAATAAGTAAAATCAATGGGACACATATCATAACTATAATTGTTACAGAATTTGTCCTCCAGTTCTATTGCATCTTTCTTACAGAAGCTTGACAGACATTTGTTTACTAGTCGGACACAAAAAAAAGAAAAGAAAAAACACAGAAAGAAAACAAAAGAAATATTAATCTTAAAAATTGAAGAATCATAATGCTGCCTATCAGAGAACTTTATCAGCATAGTCAACTTTCCTTACTCTCATTCTTTTCAATCACTAGTCCTGAATAGTTTCAAATTTGATTCATGGATTTCCACACGGGAAGATATTTGGTCTTGTATAAAGCCTCATTAAAGTCAATAGATGTCCCTGGGCATGCTAGATTCTGTCCACAGAAAGCACAATTTTTGGATTAGTTGCTTGCAGCAAATACCAGTACATTCAACTTTGTAATGCCTAAAGCAAGTCATTTATACAGAAGTGGTACAATTTCCAGAAAGACTGACAAACCAACACACCCAGAAAAGTTGCTGTGAGCAGCAAATGGTTTTCAAGAAAGTAGATATTATGTATCTGTAAAAGAAATGTGAAAAAAAAAAAAAAAAAAAAGAGTAGCATACCTCATTCTGAAGTCCACACATCAAAACAAACATTGACAGACTGAAGAGAGATTACAGAATACCCCCAAAATCAAAATGAATGCAAGGAGAGTAAATAATTAACAAGGCAAGTTTACTTAGATCATTTTAAAAAAAGACAGTTTCAATTATTTCATTGAAAAATTGAAACATCTTCAGAAAAAAATATAACAGCAACTCTTATCTATAGGAAATTGATATTTTAGTAGAGAAAAATCTTTTAAAATGTCTAGATATTAAAAATAAAGGCACAGATATGCCACTAGTAGAGCTATCAGCCCTCAGCATAAATTACTGAGGGAGATGGCAGTTCTCAATCTCTTGAGGACTTCATTTCAAGACGGATTGCTTTTCTTTATATTTCAGCCAAACAGAAAAGAAGTGGCTTAACACAAGTATAATTGAAAGAAACTGTGTGGCATCTGAATATATCATCTGATGACATAGACATTTCTACTCTCTAGGGTTTCCAAATTTATGAAAAAAAACTCTCAGTAGAAACTTGTGGCCTTTTGCTTCTATACTGTACCTGGTATACATGAATTTTGAAAATTTACTCTTTAGGCAGAATAATGTTCCAGAAGATATAAGCCTACTACACACTTCAGAAGAAAACAGTGAAATGATATTTGGGATATAAAAAAAAAAAAAATTTAGTGGTAGTTGAAATACATAATTTGTATCTAAGTTCTAAATAGAACTTAGAGTTAACATATATTATTTAATTTGAAACATATTTTGAAAGAAAAAAATTGAGGTTTTGGCACACACACTGAATGCCATGAAAGACTTTGAAGTGACAACTTCAGTAAGCAAATTCAGTAATTATTCCCATCTTATTAAACCCATCTGTAATTCAGCTAGTCTCAGGGCTACTGGAGAGAGATCACCCCCATTGGAGAAAGCCTGCTTCAGTATACAACACAAGACCTGTGAAAGGAGGTAATGCTTTAATTAGACTAGCTGAGGCTTGGAGTCTTTTCCACAGAGACTGCCAACAAGGGAGTCAACATTATCAAGTATTTTTGCTTTTTTGTTTTCCTTTTAAAAACAAAAGGCATTACTTTGATTTCAAGAGCAGTGGAGAAATGAGAATGTCTTCATTCTCAGGTGCTTGTTGAAGCCATCTAAGCTGTAAAAGCAGCTTAGCCAAACTCTTGCTGATGAAGATTCACTGACACTGGCAGGGCTTACACCTTGAGGCATTCCTGCTTTATAAATATGCATAGTGCACGTGAACTGGAAAACAGCTGAAAAAAATGGCTGTGAGGCCATCTCAGATGGAATATGTTATCTGTTCCGTTGTAATGATCCTCAGCACCACAGAAAAAGAAAGTTCCCTATAAGCTCATGAACAGAAAGTAACTATTTTGTCAGCTACTTAAAGGGCTTTCTCACAGATTTGTTGTACTATAGTGTATACTTATAAACCATTTAAGATGAAGGACTGATGAACTCTCTGCTCCAAGATAATTGTTGACTCTTGTGCGCTTTCAGCTGTGAAGAACTCTTGCCTTTAAACATGAACACTGCATACACCTAACAGCCATGGTCAGGGAAGTAGCTAGAGCTCCACCTGCTTCATTCCTCTGAAGTTTCAGAAAATCAAGAGGACAGTTGCTGCTATAAGGGCATGCAGGAGGCAGTTGCTCATTAGGTAGAAGATAAGTTTGCTGGTTCAGGAGAAAAAACATCAGATGTACAATATCCAAGAACTACACAGATTGAGGATATCCTTTTCTAACTTTATGCTTGAAAAAAGAAGGAATGCAAATTCAGCTCTCTTAACTTCCTTCACAGCTCTTCAGCTCTTCATTCCCTTTAGCCCTTCTCTTTCCAGAGTTCAGACAGACTCTGGACTTCTGGACTTCTGAGCAGATAAATATCTCTACCTACATTACTGCAAAAGGGGCCTCTGGGAAAACTTGAGCCAAGGAGAAAAAGGAGGAAATATTTCATATAAGTAAAAGCAAATGCTATCAGACTGAAATATGGTTTATTAAGCATACAGGTACATCGCTGCTATTAGATCTAGTTCAGAAATGCAGATCTAAATATTTTCCACTGCAAGGGATACTGGTGTTGTGGTATGCCTCAGTGTTTTTCCCCCACAGGAAAATTTTACTCCAGAGATCATATTCCACAAAGGACAGTAACGCAATATTTCCCAGAGGTTAGGATACCTTCTAACTAGCTGATGCCACTTCAGCACTTTAAAAAAATTCCCATCTGCCATCTGCCTTTGCTTTATCCCTCCCATAGGAGACAATGTCTGTTAAATAGGCCCTCCCCTTGTAAAGTCATCCCTGTGAATGTTGCCTTCATTACTGTATGAATTCTGTCCAGAATGAGAATAAAACTCACCTTTACTGCTGTCTCCATTCAATTTGTTAGGAGAGAAAAGGATCACTACAGTATGTTATTCAGCATTTTTCTTTTTCCAAAACATTTTTCTCAAAGTTAAAAAAAAAAAAACGCAATAGCTGAATTGAAAAGATTGTTTAAAGTAAAATTACAAAACTGCAGTGTGATACAGCAAGCTTTTTCAGTAGGAAAAAAAGACTGAATGTTTTTGAACTCAAAAATAATTAAAATCTACACTACGACATTTTTTAATTACTTCAGGTTCAATAATGTACTCAGTATTACATCAAAGAGGCCTATATAGTCCCTCTACTTCCCCACGTCATCCTACACAGCCACGTCTTTGGATATCCAGTCCTGACAAAGCTCCATTCAAACAAGATGCTGAGTTTCTTTGTTGCATTCAAAAATTTACTTAATCTCATGTGGGAAAAGGTCCCGTCCCTTCCCCCCCCCCCCCCCCACCCCCCCCCCATCAATAGTCCTTGAGGTGGAGAAGCACAGTGTGGGTGGCTCACTGAGGCCATTTTCCCCAACACCTCTGTGCTGCCACGAGCAGCTGCCCACAGGACCCCAGCTCATGCAGGAGAAGGAAGGAGATTGTTCTGCTCTCAAGGGAAGGGCACAAAGAGATTTGCAGAGCTTTCTAAGAGCAATGATACAGACAGGGAAATAAGGCCACAGATTGATCTCAGTACGATGACCACCTGCTCCAGCATTATCCTTAACTTAGACGTACTGCAGATTTAACAATCACCATTCCACCCTGTAACTCTTCCTCAGTTGTATAAAAATTATGTTTGGTATAAACAATCTAGAGGATCTAGTGTTATTTTCTTCTTTCTTTAAGAAAATTTAAAAACAACTTAAAAAAAATAAGTTTAAGAACAACAGAAAAAAGATTATTTTGTTTACTTATCAAATGACTGCAATAATGTCATGGTTTGAAGAGTAAAAATAAGTAGTAAATTATGATGATTGCAAATACCTGTAATCCATCCTGAATATCTCTGAGTCTAAAAAGAAGTAGAGATGAGGGGGAATTCTACTGTTCCTTCTGTTTTGGCAGATAAAGTGTATTTTGCCTAAGTTCTGACTAGAGAAGTTCAGAATGCAACTCGCTACTTACAACATTTCTTTATCTGGACATATGGAAGAGCTAATTGAATTTTGAAAAAAAAAAAATTCTTCCAACTGCCAAAATAATTAAAACAGCAAGGATTTAAAGACTTTAAAAAGCAGTACCAATTCTTATAGAAGGTCCAGCAGCAACTAAGCTCTCTAGGAGATACAGATTTTCAATTTCCTTCTGTTAGGAGCATTCTACAGATTATTCTACAGATATTCTACAGTGTTTCACTGTATCCACTAGAATTTTCTTCTCCCTGTTTTAAAGTCCTCCTTTAGTCAGAAGTTGTTTAATTGCCTTTGTCTTTATCTCTGAGTGGAACTGCCAGAATACAGAAAACTTCCATTCTGGTGAGGAATTAACTCACATGGGAAGAAAATGGGCCAAAATAACAAAGAATTCTAGAGGAATAGATGGACCCTGTTCTGAAATAAGATCCTCCAGGTTTTTTTTTTGTTTTGTTTTTGTTTTTTAAAGTGATATTAAATAGTTCTGAAGAAATCAGTGAGGAGATCATGAGGGCAATTTTTTTTCATAAAAGGGTCCTGTTCTAAAGAACCTCTATAAAGACATTAAGGATTCAAGATACAGAAATAATTATAAAGTCACACAGAGATTCAAAAGATACTACAACTGTCCCAAGATACATCGTTCTAAAACTGCATTCACAAATAAGTATGGTAAAATAATTGCCTCCATTTGTACCTCACTTATAGGCAGCATTTGTTAAAAAGGACTTTCAGTAGATATTACAGTTGATATTGCAGTTAGAATGATTATCATAGTGAAAGTAGGAAAAGAAACACACAGGAAAGGAATACTCACCTATAGCCAAAGATCTAGGATCACAGGAAACACTCCACAGAGAAGAAATCTCCAGAAAGAGATTCTTTCCTAGTGGCAGTCAGCCTTTAAATGGGGTCTAGCATGGGGGCTCCACCCTTTCCAGTCACACAGGTGAACTGCCTTCACCTGTGCTCCCATGGCTGACTCAGTCCTTTCCACAGGTGAGCAATCAATGGTTCAGGCTGTGACTCAACAGTTCCTATACAATAGATATATGACATAAAAAGCTTTATTTTTTTAATGATTTAATAGAATTATATTTTTTTGTTCAAAACAGCAAGAACAGAAGAAGTCTGAGTGAATAATTGGCTGGGGCTTTAGCTCAGCCCAAGCACAATTGTCTCTCTACATACTTGAACAGAAAAACGTTTAAAGAACATTTATTAGTTCTCCTTCGGAAATTCAATTCACATTAATTCTGTATATTTTACTGACTAAATTAAGCTATTTCTATAGATCCCATACCCTGGAAGGCTTTGTTATGAATAATGTATTTTAGATGTATTCAAATGAACAGCTAAAAATTGTCACTGTAAAAAAAAATTAAAAAAATTAAAAAAATTTTTTAAAAAGCAAAACAGATTTCTGTTTTTATCTATCACTTTTCAGAGGCAGTCAGAGACATTCAGAGCAGTTCCCCTCATTTACTGGTGGTGCAGTCTCACCAATTCTTTGGTCTGGCAGGACGGCTCCTGGGGAAGGATTCATAAAATTTTTTCCACGAGGTAGAATGACTCCTGCAAGCCTTCCAGCTGGATTAGTGACCTTGGTCATAGCATGCCAGTGGCCAAGGTCAGCTCTGTGCCTACAGGCATCATTGCCCAGCCAAAACAGACAGATGGTCATGTGGGGTCAGGTATGGCAGATGAACTTCAGTGTCAATGACAAACGCACGCAATGCAAGACATGAAATATGTATTTTCTAAAGTGGAAATCAATTTGGGAAAACAGCAGTTGTTTTCTCCTATAAAATGGTATATATTACATTTCAGGCTCCCAATTCTTCAGTTTTGTAGATATCAGTAAAACATCCCATTTACTGGAAAAAAATCTTGCATAAAGTGGGAGTAAGGTTTTCTCAAAGAGAGCAAGAGACTTGGCAATCAGAATGTTTATCTGAACAAGTTGTTATACATGAAAGAACTTCCTCAAAACTCACTGCCTTTTGAAATCTCAAACCTACACAACAAAAACATACAAAAAGGTTTCCAATATCAGATATATGTAATCCAATATTAATTAATGATAAAGAACCTCAGTCATGAAAGATTGTCTTCATTGTACTCAATAGGAATTTAATGTATTTTAATATGTGTTTTTCTGCTTCCATAAATCGAAGTTGCAACAACAGCGAATAGCTACAAAAAGAAATTTCACACATGAAAGTAATGCAAATGTATGTGTGGTAAAGGCAGCATAATTCAGAATTTCTTATTCTGCAATGAAACGGAGATAAGTCACCTCACAGTGACAGAGAAGTGCAGATAATTGAACAATAAGCCATACTGTACTTTGTATATAAAAATCTGTTACGTTGAAGTCATGTGACAAAGCAAAACATATTAAATTAATTATATTTTCAGATAGAAAATGCTTTTATTTTCTAAAACACCTAAAAATTCACTACATGCCTCTGAAAATCTCAGTCATTTTGTGTACTTCAGTTTGTAACATTCAGAGTATGCATCTTTACAGATCTACAGTAATCTTCTGGAGACAGTCTTCCAGTAACATTGGAGACTGGGATAAGACATCAATTATCTGCTTCTTCTTCTCTTTCCTGTAGTAAATACTATTTTTCCCCCAGTAAACAAAAATTCCTGAGCTCTTTTACAAACTGGACAACAAAATAAGAAAATCATTGCATTAGCTTGTTTTTTTTTCCTAGTCACCTTTGATCAAATTTTGATGTGTATTTTTGACTGCCAATTTGTTTGGATGAGCTGATCAAAATGCTCATTTTGTGGTGTGACAGCTGTGCATGGTCAACTAAAAGATGGCTTGTCTTTCACATCATTACTCATGGCCTCACTGTGCTCACATTCACTGTTTGGCCTTCACAGTTGTTCAGGAAGCATGAATGAATGTCAGTGGGTGCCATTATTTCCACCTGAAGGAATTCAGTGACACACCTTTTGCTTCATATGCTTTTACATGCCAGGCACCATTTTCTCAGACTGCCCCTCTGCTGCCATCTGTCACATGGCAACAAAATATTGGTGTAAAGGTTCAACCTCTACTGCCATATCACCAACATTTGCCTCTGATTTCATGGCCCAAAATTATAAAAAGGAGGCATTACTTTTGGAGCACCCCTCATACAATAAAATATTTCCTTTTACAAATAGAGAAGTAATTGCATTAAGCTATTTTGTGAAAGTTCAATGTTTGAACAATATTTTGACCATTTTTATTCTTACTGCATATCAAACAGACTCTAATCAAGATCCTTAGAGGAACTAAATTCATAGAGGAGTAATTCTAGAGGAACAACTCTTATCAAAAGATTATGCTACATTACATCAATCCATAAATGAAAAGCCATTAACTAATATTAATATAACATCTGAGTTTGCTTTCTTAGACCATGAAGTCATTTAAATGCATTTAAATATAACATTTCAAAATTTAATCCTCAAATGCTAATTAAATAGCACCGCTTGTTACAAGACAGAATAAGGATGAAAGATCTTAAGTGAGATTACTATTACCTCCACTGTGACAAATGACTTAATGGAGCATTTCTGATTGCAGGAAAAGCATTCCAATGACCTCTGAGTGTGTCTGATCTATTTGAAACAAATAGCAAATTAAAAAACAAAACAAAACAAAACAAACAAAAAAAAACCCCACACACAAAAACACCTTTCCTAGCAGAAGAGAAACATATAAAAATTTAAACCATTTATGAGTAGAAGTTCATGGAATCACAGAATAGTTAAGGTTGGAAGACCCTTTGGAGATCATCCGGACCAATATATCTGTTCAAGCAGGGATAGCTAACACAGATTGCCCAGGAAATTGAGAAAATTAGAAGAGCATTTTTGAAAATTATTATCTCTTTTTTTTTTTAAATGAAAAACATAAACTCTGTGGGAATAAAGCAATTTTGTTAAAAGACCCATGGTCTACTTTGTCAACAAAAAGTGGCATGAATAAAAGTTTTTATGAGTGCTGCAAGCATAAGAGCAGCTTCACTAAAATGCCATTTCAACGTTTGCTATTTGATCAGCTTTGAGTTTCTAGCAGCCTGTTGCAGCTTCAGAGAAATAAGTTGTGTGAAGTTTCTCTAGTTTTGCTGTGCCAAGTCCATCCATAAAGCCTGAGCTCTTGTTAGAGTGCTTTATGGGCAGGATTATCAAGAAGAGGAAGAAAACAGCCAGTGAGATACCACAGTCTGCCAGCACTGGAAAACTAGGAACTGCTGAGGCTCTGTGCACCCTAACAGGGTGTCCCCAGGGGTTTGCAGTGCTGTCTAAAGGAAGTGACTGCTGCTGGCACCTGAACCTTGGCACTCTCTCGCCTGATCTCTGCTTGCAGGAGTCACAGGCCAGTCCTTTGATTCATTACAGCAGAAAAGCCTGGCAATCTACCCGGCTTGCCGCAATTTATTCTTCTTGAAATATTGCCTCCAGAACAAACTAACACATTCTGTACAGAGTGAATATGCTTCCACATAACTAATGGAGACTTGCAAGATTTATTAGAAGGCAGAAAATGTTCCTTTCTGTGCTGATCTCTGGATATTAAACTTTCCATGAGTCCTTTGTCATATATAACATTTTTCTATTCACTGAAGAAGTGGCTTGGCTGTAGCAGAGATGCATTTTAACAGTGCTGTGAGAAAGATTTCAAAAATTTGAAATAAAGAAATAACAACATACTAATTGCATTAATTTCTTTCTGCATTTGATGTTCACTTTGTGTTGCATCTTCAGGATAATGAGAAAAATACATGTATTTGTCAACATAACTATTTAATCGTCTCACTTTTGGATTCAGCATGCTTACAGAGAACTTGCATCCCGTGGACAAGAGAATGAAATGCAAGGAAAGAAATAAATGGAAATATCTTGGTGGGAAGGCTTGAAACAAATATTATACAGGTGAATCTGGTAACAGACACTGATCAAGAGAGAAATAAGTAAGCAACAAGTCCTGGACAAAAAACATTTGCTGCTTTCTGCTGCATATTTGGAAAAGTTTGTTAGAGGAAAAAGAGGCTGCACCAGATCAGAAGCAGAAAGACAATTTTCTCTCCATTCCCTCAGTATGAACCCAGACTAACTCAGTGAAAGATTTACAATGGTAGGCTAGTGAACAACATTTGATCCACAAATTAGAAGATATAAATCTGAGTTAAAGAAAAGAGAGAAATAGAGCTGACGTGTCGTAAAGGCAAAAAAGGAGTATTTTAGATAAAAAGAAAAAAGAAAGCTACAATCTTTCAATTAAACAACAACAACAAAAAAGTTAAGCATCCTTAAATAGAAGCAGCAAATTATGCAGTACAGTTTAGCAAAGTTTCCTAACAAGATATGTGAACAATTCTAAAGGACTGAGACAAAGAAACAAAAGGCCTAAAAATAATAATTTAGGAGGACTTCTGAAAAAGACAAATCTGCTTATTACGCTTCTTTTTCTGGTGAACCTTTTTTTTTTTGTAATCTCTTCTCTTGCACAAGCTCTTCACTTCTTGTTTTTTCGTTTTTCTCTCAAAGGGAAAAAAAAGAAAGAAAATAACATTGGAGGTGACAACTAATTATTTATGTTTTCTATACAAAAATTATTTAATTATATCACTGTAGAAAGCATTAAAAAGCACATTAAAATGTACAAATGAAAATGGCTGCACTTATTTTCTAGAAAAAAATGGAGACAGGATGGTGAGGAGCCCAAAACATAAATTAAGGTACAAGTTATATGCAGAAAATTCAATATTTCACTTTATAAATATTGTACTGTTTTGCCTCTGGCTGCTGTCCAGTTGTAAATTATAGTAGCCTATATTGCTGTTTTTAAAAAAATGG